CCCCGCGCCCTCATCCTTTCACCCCTTCTCTGTAATTCGTTTTATTGTAGGGTGAAGTGCCTTGGCACAGGATTTTTTTCAGCTTCGGGGAATGATTCTGAAAGGGTGTGCTGTTTGTTCTGCTTTCGTTTCAGGTTTTTTTTTTTTCTTTCTTTTACTGTGTTTGGAAGTACAAAACCACCTATTGTGTAAATTGGGCACAACACTGGCGTGTGTCTGTCTGTATGTGCTTGGGGAAGGTGGCAGGAGGGTCTTATCAGGTCACATTCAGGTTACAAGTGCAAAAGTCACAGTCACTTTTTAAATTTTTTTTTTAGTACAGACATTGTTTGATTTTGTTTTCTTTCTGGTTGAAAAGTACGGCGCACATTTTCCCCTTTTAGCCATGACTGAGTCTAAATGGCTTTTATGGAGAGATTAGCACACCCCGACTTTAATACAAGGTTTCCTTTTTTTAAGGATGTGTTTGTATGCTTTCTGGACTTTTGAATTAAAAAAATATATTATGATCTTTAAAAGGATCGCTGTAGATGTGGATGAATCATTAAAGAGTGCAGAGATATATGATCCATAACTGGTTAGTGAAAATAACTTATTGATGAAATATAAAAAAATATTTTATTGTAGCACCTATTTTTATATGCATATTAGCATTTCTCTTTCCTTCACTATTTTAGGGCCTAATCCTGCAAATTCTTACTCACTTGAGTATCTTTACTTGTGAAAAAAGTCCCAACTTAGGCCTTCATCCTGCAGGCACTTAAGCACATGGACAGCTTTACTAATGCGTGTAGTCCCGTAGACTCACTCATTGAGCAAAGTTAGTTGAATGCCCAAAACATTAGGATAGAGCATGCAGAACTGTTCTTGCAAGTAAGATTACAGAGATGTTTAAGTGTTTTTTCTTTTTTCAGGATGGGGTCCGAAGTCTGCGGATCGCTTTAAAGTGTTGCACTACATGGAGGGCTTTTTTCCCAAAGCTGATGTAGTATTAGGAGGACCTTTTAAATCATTACAGATAAAGCCAATTATGACCAAATCTTAACAGACAATCTAAGACATATAATCTGATCACAATAGAATAAAATCATGTTTCTCTATTTAAAAATGTACCTTTTAGCAACCTCCTGCTCAGGCATCTGGTTGGGCAAACTAGTGAGGGACATGTAGAAGGCATTCATTTTAGGAGGAAAAAAAAAATGTTTAATTTTTGATTTGTCAGTTATCCCTTTTTTTTTTCAGTTAACCAAATATAATGATAATACAACAGTTGTAGCCAGTTTCTGATTGTTTAGTCAAGTACAATTGCACTTGTACAGATCCGTGTGTTTACTAGCATCCCGAAAGACCAAATGATGGACTGTACACATCTATATACAATGTCTTTACCCCTTTGGGCAGCAGGCAATGGCAAGGATATTCATAAACACAGCATCACTGTAAAATGGGACAACTGATGTCTCATATGTATCCCAGCACATGTGATTTTTTAATAGTTTCTGAATAAACACTTGATAAATATTTCAAATGTAAGAACATGAACCACTGAGTATCTGAAGTTTAAAATTTCTTGCCAAAATCATCTGTTTGTATGTTGGATTCTCTTCATTAGCAATTATGGCTCATCAGAAAGACCTAACATTTTTAAGCAAAACATAATGTGTTCTCTGTTTTCAAAACATGGCATACGCTAATTACCAGCATATATAACATGGGTCAGAGAGACACACAGATATGTGTTTCACCAACATATTGAATAGGATAGTTTTATATTTACATTTTGTTTCCTTGCTGAAGTGTTCTCTAATATATAGAACAGGGTAAGTGATATTTCACATGCAGTTTTGTCTTTCTTGATTAGGTTATTGCATTCGTTATTGTTTGCAGAGTTGTTCATTAGTACATCTTTTATTGCAAAAGGGCTCTGCTCTGTTCTGCTTTTCCTATCCGTGTACAATCTGTCACTTTCTACAAAAACAAAGATATATAACTGATCCATTGGAATTCAAGTTAAATGTTTTGTTGGCATGTGTTCTTCCCTCTGTGCCACCCACACTGAGCAAAAGCAAAAGAAAGAAAAAAAAAAAGGCATGACTGTATTTAGCTTGGACAGTTTAGTGAGTGGAGTGTTATTTCAGTTTGAAATGTGGGTATGAGGCGTGTTATTTTGTCACAAGAGACTCAACGCATGGCTATTCTGTGCACTGCTCTTGGTCTGCTGCAGACTTGCCATTGACACTAGTGACACATGTGAGTATTGCTGCCTGAGGTGCAGTTCTGGAGCCCTAATTTTGAATAACCTCCTTTACAGCTATTGCTGAAACCAGCAGCCTGGTTCTTCTTCCGTTTAAGCTCAGTAGAGGCACACTGTTGTTAAATGGGTACAAGTAAGAAAATTTTCAGCCTCACTGGTTTTGTCATTTGCTAAGAGAAAGGCTAACTCCATAAACATTGAATGAGAAGGTCCTGCAAACACTATCTGTCTGTTCACGTATATATTTTTTTTTTCTCTGTGTTTCTGCACTCATAAGCAGGAATTTGCATAGGTGTCAATACAAATGTAGGATTAGGTCTTTAATGTGAAATGTACATTTTACATGGCATTCTGCCACAAAGAGGCAGCATCCACAAATGAGTAAATGAGCAGGAATTGCTTGGATTTGTGAGAAATAGCTGATAGAAATGCCTCGACAGTCTGTGCTTGCGTTCTGATGCTGCCATTTCTGAGGCTGGTAGTACTGCTGTACTGATAGTACACTATCAGTAATAGCTGATAGTGAAGAATTTTTGTAAGGGTCTATGCTAAAATCAGAACAATTAATTTAAATCTCTTTAATTTCTCATCTTCAGTAGAAAAAACAAGTTATCAGTTCCATTATTGGAGAAAAAAATTAAATGGCATCAACTACCTTCAGAAAGTGCGTTCTTGAACATAAGTCCTTACAAAGGGATACAGAGTGCAAAATAATATTCTTTAGTCCATAATTATCCTGAAACACACCTGAAAGGGCTATGTGTGAATGGTGACCTTAATGGAAGTAGGATTTCCCACTCAGTGGATGCAATGATTTAACACCTGCAGAAAATTGTAGTAAGAAAAAGTAGATGGGAACTTCACTTGACAAAAGATGTGCTTCTGATTTAAAAACACGATGATTTGTTTAAAGACAGGATGTTTGTATAAGAATATGACCTTTGTTTTGTTAGAAGATCAGTGAAAGCTTCTGCATGATGGTCTGCTGAGTTAGAGCTGACCAAAGGGGTAAAAGAGTAATAATAATAAAAAATCCCTATTTTGAGAATTCTGATTATTTTATCTTGTTTTATGTTGGTTTTCAGGCTGGTTTAGGTTGGTTATTACAGTGATTTTTTTTCTGCTTTTTTTTTTTTAATTAGTTTTTTGACAAATAATATTGAGCTTAAAGAATCATTCATGTAGCCTCACAATTAGTTTCAGAAATGCATGAAATTCTGTGATAAAAGAGGAAAAAAGCTGGAAGAGAGTCCTAATTTATCAATGTAACTACTAGGATTAAAACATGGATCGTGATAATATAGAACATTTATTCTTATGAAGTAAAAGAGATATTCTTTGTACTTTTTTGGGGTTTTTTTTTCATATTCTGGCAATTTAATGTCTTAAATACTGATGGTGAGTTCAGGGGTGAGACATCTCTTGCCTTGCCTTGCCTTGCCCTTACTTGCCTTGCCTTGCCTTGCCTGCCCTCTCCTCTCCTCTCCTCTCCTCTCCTCTCCTCTCCTCTCCGTTAAAGGTCTGACAAAAATGCAGCTTCCACTTTCATACTTCTAGGGCCCAAATTATCACACTTTTTTTTTAGATTTACCTCCCATTATTTTAATGGTCACTTAAGGTTGTGAAAACATGTTCAGCTGATTCTGTATACTGCAGTATTTAATTTCTGAATGTTTTCCTATGTTTTAATTTTTTACAAAGCATGTAGCTAATTCTTATTTTAGGAGAACATATTAGATGTGGTAGTGCCTCTTCTCATATCACATAACAATTTAATTCTTAAAGTAATATATCAAAATTTATGGTAAAATGTCATAAAAAAATGAGCCTCTGACCCATGGAAAACACATATATCTGAAAAGCAGGAATAGCTAATAAAGGGTTTTTGTAAAATATGAAGGCAACATACTGGTTCTGTAGGTTGTTTAGACTTTTATTTAGCTGGAGCTAAAATGTCTCACCAGCGTGTTGTGTGTTTCTTACAGAAACTTAAGAGTCTGCTTAATGCATATGGTTCCCTCTCAGGGGGCAGAGTCCGTTAAGGCACTACATCCTGAAGGAGAGGGTAAACAAGAACTCCTTTATTTTTAGAGGGCAGGTTCTTTATATTGCTCAGTGTCTCCGGGGAGCCTGAATAGCTTTTCATTTGGTTAAAGACCAGCGTACTGAAATGCAGCATCTCCAAATTAGCCTCTAGAGAAGGGGGACAAAATCTTTGGTTGTCTTATGCAGAACAGAGAAAACTATTGGCGCTACTGGCATTAAACAAGAAAAATGTGGAAAGAAGAGAGAGTGAATGGCAGATACAATTCCATAGCTGTCAACCTTCAAATGGTTTTCACATTTTTATTGATTATTTTATTATAGGGAACTTGCACATCCTTTCTGCAGCATCCATTTACTCCGGAAAATGTAGAACCTCAAGCTAAACAATGACAAGAGGGTGGAGGAGTAAACAAATGAGGCGGTTCTGTGAGATGATGGACAAGGTAGCAGCACTCTGAACAGGGCGGCTGTACTAGTTGTTCATTTACATCATTTCCTGACACTTTTAAGAAGATTTGCAGTCTGTTCTGATGAAACGAGAGCACGTAGCTCTCCTTGCAGTCCAGCAATACTGTCTTACAGATTTGTGTTTATCCATCTATGTATAAATACTATCCTAATATAAATATCACAAGTCTTTTTATTGAGTTTTTCTGTTCATTATTCAGCTACATTTCAGAGTACCTATCAGTATAATAATACTCCAGAAATACTAGGTACAGTTATGCATTAGAATAATTGTTTACTGTTAAAACACTGAACTGAACAGAGTTGGGAAACACAAACTGACACATTTAGGTCCTAGGAGCCAGAGGCATTTAATTGATTGAATATACGAAGAAATAAAGTGTAATGAAGTTTGTAATTAAATGGTTATCAAATTAACTATTTAACTTACAGCTAATGGGCCACATTTTGCTGCTACTTGTTTAAGTATAAAACTGGATTCTATTGACTTAGAGTGGTTACAAAACATTTGCTTTGCCCTTATAAGTCTGGCTTTTTGTCACCAACATAAGCCATTCTCTTAGCATTTTTGTTTTGTAAAAGGAAAAAAATGAAGACAGTAATGATAAACATTTGTAGTTCTGCTATGTACCTCTAAAATGAATTACATCTATTTCCAATCTGCTGACAAATTAAATGAACATTGATGTAGTATAGCACTGTAGAATTTATTTCAGAACCATGTTGTCCTGGTTTTATGGGAAGTTCAGTTTACATCCACATACTCAGATGTGATTCTTGAGAATGGTGGAACATATGAACTTATTTAATTCTTCAGCCTTTCTACTGAAACCTTGAATTAGATGAAATAACTATTGATAGAAATTATTCTCTTGCGGTGTTTTTGCCATGGATGGTGCAATCACTTCTATTGCAATTTTGCAGCCTCTTATTTATGATATTTTTAAATTTTGCAGAAAACTATAGACCATGTCTAATGTAATTTTTTTTTGTTTTTAATGTTGGACACATGATTGCTATTGCATATCATGATATGGTTCTAGGTGGCCTTCCAAAAATACGTCTGGAGTGGGGTAAGGTAGAAGTTGAAATAATAATTGTCTAGTTTAATATTTCATTTAATAAAACATTTTCTTCTCATAATTTCAACAATATGTCTGATTTTGTTAACATGAGATTATCAAGACCTTCTAGTAGTTTTGTACCAATACCATGGCAAAAAGTTTATATTCCTATTTGGGAAAGGGGACAAAGTTTAAGATTGCTGTTGTCAGAGACTTCATATCAACTTTATTATAAAATATTTTTAAATAAAAGTACTGACTAAGGTTCTTAAAATAAAATGAAAGAGTACAATGTAGTACAGTTTTCTAATTTCTGAAAACAGACTTTAACAAGTAGTTTATTATTTTATCCATCTGTATTTTGTTACCATCTGTATTTTAAAACAGAATTATATATGTCTCTGTATATATATAGGAAAGTGTAAGTACACATATATATGTAGAAGTATGCATATGTATGTATATATGTGTGCATACACTTATCTTTATTTTTTTAATTAACATTGTCTTTAATGTGATGCAAGAATATTTCCGCATGTGTTTTGAAATCTTTTAGACCTGGAATGAAGCAAAAGTGCTTCATATAGCATATGAAACATATAAATGCTGTATTCACAGAGTCACCAAAAAGTCACTCCAGTCCTACAAGACTCCAACTTGTCTAATATAGTAATATAAATGTTGGTTTGGGGTTGCTAGGGACAAAAGTTCAGTCCCAAATCCAGGATGCAACTGGCTGAATATAGATTGAGGGTCATTAATATTGCTGCACCTTAAAACTCTACCTTTTACATTTGAAGTAGTATCACATAACAGGAGTGGCCTAAATTTAACTTTACTGTAACTTCATTACAATAGCAATTAGTTTGTTTAGTCAAATGGATAAATAAACACATACTAAACAGTTCTTACAAAGCTCTCAGTATTAGATATCTGAATTTAGTTATAAAGTAATAAATTCATAACTGTTTAATTATGCAGTAATTACTGCATGATGAAGATTTGTTCTCTTTCTAAATGCTGAATTTAAGTGAACTAATAATTTTTTTATTCACAAGTATGATAAAGCTGGTAGTCCCAATGGCAATTGCTTTCTGTTAAAATTAAAGCAAGGTTGTTCACAGTACTGCTACTCTTCAGCTGTGGTACAGTTTTATCATTGTAAATTCTATTTTAAAAATTTGTAAAATTAAACATCTTAAATGCATTTTCAGGTTGGAAATTTATTAAGTTGAAACAAATATGTCATATTTATGTAAAATTTGTTAGTCCTGCAATTTTAAGTAGTTTTCTCATAGTTTTTTTAATTCATTCATAGAACTATTTATAAGTAATAAAATTATGTGGTTCCATGAGTTTATGTACTGTTACATACAGTACTGCCCATTCAGTTAGATTTTACCTGATAATTTATAGCAAACCTGAATATATTGGTTACAGTATATTTCACTTTAAGCTCAAAAGTTAAGAATATGTACATTTTTTCTGTTTTGAAATGTTTATGTTAAGATCAAAGAACTTGAACTATGTACTTTCAAAGAATGAATAATCTGCTGAATCATTTCTTCTCAAGTATACATATGTTCCTTTAGTGACGATGAAAAAAATGCATCAAAGGAAAAACTGGCTAATCAGTATGTGTGATGTTTTTGAAGTGAACGAAAATTCTCCCATTAATTTCAGTTTTTGAAAGCGTGGAATGTCTTTGCAGTTTGTCTTATGTTTTTGTCTTTTCCTGGTAGAAAGTGTTCATTAGCTTACTGTGCATATGGAAAATACCTGCTGCAAAGGTGTTTCAAATCTCAATCAGTTATAACATCTCTATCAGTTAAACTTTGGTGGTTTCTAAAGGTTGTTTTCTTTCTTCAGTGATTAAATTATGCTTTGTGGGTAATTTTTCTTTCATTTCCATCCAAATTATGCCATGTGGGTAATTTTTCTTTCATTTCCATCCAAAGATAGCATGCAACCTAGTCAATACTGTTTGTGGAAATGATTTAAATATGCTGTATTTTGGTACGTTCATAATTTTTTTCACGTTAAGTTTAAAAACATTCTAACTCTTTAAAACGGAGTTAGCAGTTATGCATTTCCTATTTCAATTTTTTGTTTCCTTGTCTTATTCTTTTTTCCTACATGTTACTGAGTCAAACTGCTTGCCTTTGTTTTGAAGTCTGCTTTTTATTTTATTTTGAGTACGGAGCACAATTGTCTGCAGAAGGATAGAAGCTATTGTTCTTAAGTGTGTGTATTTTCTGTTAAAGAAAAATACTGTACTCTTTTAGATCACTATTGATTTTCTAAGCAGAAGCATGTGGTCTACATTTCTCCCCTCCTCTCTCCATTCTTAAACTGTGGGGCAGTGAAGGGCATAAGTGTTTGCTTTTGTAGCTCTGACAGCTGGAGTAAGACCTTAAGCAAAATCCTCATCAGTGTCAAAGGAAATTCTTTTTTAGGTAGAGATTTTATTAAAAATGTCTATCTATAACATCATTAGTGTAAATCTGTAACATGAATACATACATGCATAGACATATATTTATATGTATTTATGTCTGAGGCACCAGTCAGTGCAGAATGAAGCTTTTTCTGTTGTAGCTGATTTTTTTAATGCACCTTTTCTCAAAAAGAGGAACTGTCTTATAAGTAGGCAATGCTTACATAATGAAGCTTTTCAACAGAGTAATTTAAGTGGTAAAATGAACTCCTTATCGACAATTTCTGATTGGGTCTGAAATGTTTCTTTTTACCTTTTTGCATGGCAGGTCATAGCTACCAACAAGTAAGTGACAATGTACCATAATATCATGTTGAAAAGTATATTCTAGTAAGTTTCTTGTGCAATATATTACTTTAAGATTTTTAAGTGGTAGAAGTCTGCTAATGCATACTGTTCTAACTTGTACATCAACAACAATTTTTTTTTTCTTAAAAATTAAGAAGTTGCTACTCTTTTGAGAAAAGTTTTTTCTATAAATATGAAAAGTAGTTAAAGTAGTTATTCTAAATTCACCAATTTTTAGAAACATTATTGATTGTATTTATAATGGATAATATTTTTTCATCCGTATGTAATTTTATATACTGAATGTGTTCTATAATTTTCAGTATATTTATATACTGAATGTTATCTGTAATTAAATGTTTCTTAAGAATTATCAGATTACTAAGAAGTTTATGTTAGATTTGGTTAGAAACAGAGGTTTAATTACAGTGAAAAAAAGCATCCTCATCATTTTGTCTTCATAATATTTATCTTAGGAACAATTGTCCAAATGAATTGGACTCATGCTTTAAAATATTAAGATATGTATTAATTTTACCTCATTTGCTATTTGAATGTTTGAGAATTATTTACTGCTCTATGTAATAATCCATAGTGAAATATCAAAAATTCCCAACTTTGGCCTGATCAATGCTATGTAATTTCAATTTACGGTTGTATAGTGAAACTATTTTTCTTTTATGTTTGTCTTACACTTAGTTACCCTTACCTCCTGCTCTGTGTGTTGATGTAAGGCCTCACAAATGATCATTTAATCGTTAAAGCTTGATATTACTTCACAACCCTAACAGAAAGATAATTTAACACAGCAATGAAGACAGACGTTCAAAGGTAGATTTTTATTCTCTGACTACTTCCACATGTGAATAAGTTGACTGATGTGAGTAGTCTCATCAGGTTCAGTCGGAATTTTTTGTGTAACACACTTTCCTGTTTGAAGAAAAGAAATACAAATATATGTCTGACACATTCGTGCTTAAGTCAGTCTGAGTTACGATTTTCTTGACGGGGAAGTGTTTCTGAACATGTTAGGATAATGATTACTGTTACCAAAGTCTTTTCTTCCTCTAAAAAGGGAACTTTCTGTGTTTAATGATGCAGATAACATGCGACAAAGTGTTTGTATCAGAGAGCATTTTCATATACTCAGAAGGGCCTGAGGACCTTGGAATCTAATGCTAGTTCATTTGCTGAAATACTAACCTTGTGTTTTCCTGTATTTTGTTTTTAATTTAATGTTACCGCCTTGAAAATGTTACTCATAATAACGTTTAAGCCTAATGTCAGGAAACTACTGGGAGGGTTAAGGAGTATTTTTATTTATTCAGATACTTGAACTGTAAAGCCATATGTGGAAGATAAGTAGTTACAAGTTCTGCATGTCTTCATTTTGTCTTGTCTTCTAAATACGTTAGATTTTTTTATTCAAAAAGGGAATACAGGATTTGAATGAAATATAAAGATGTTAAATAGCTGTCATCCAAAGGCTTCCACAAGAATTGTTGTTATCATTGTTTTTGCTGTTGTTATTGAACTCTGAAAAATCAGGTAATGTTTATTTTAGGAACTCACTGGGTTTTTAGGAGGTGAGTGGACAATGACTAAGAGGCCTTGCATCTTTCTGTGTTACAGCTAGCTAAATTGTCACAGTAAGCAAGTAGGAGCCCTTTTTAGTGAACTTATGTTTGGGGAATGTGGTCAATTTATACATATCTCTGCATTTTAAATATCTAAAAGATAAATACTGTCAAAATTATTTCTTAAAGCTGAGAAAAAAGTAATTACTTGCAAGGCAGAGAATCTGAAAGCAAGGATTGTTGTTACCAGAAGTGAAAAGGATTTTTTTTTTCATTGTCCAAATGTAGAAATGCGAAAGTAAAAACATACAGAACAGAGAGTACTGAATACTTAGAATATTACAAAATCTTAAACTTGTAAGCATCCTTTTTAGATATACATAACCTTTTAACCCTTCATATGAGAGTCTTACATATAAAGGAGATTTTAGCTATAGTTAAGGCAGCACAGTCAGAAGAGAGGCAGGTTTTTGATCTTATTTTATATAACCATAGAAAAATCCTTTCTATCATTTTACTTTTTTTTTTTATTACACTGGAATCAAAAATCTTCATGTCAAAGCTGGAAATTATGGTGTCACAAAATTAAAGTTGCTACAGTAAACTGAAATTTGAAACTAAGATACAATGTTCTATGATGATGGGAGATATTAGTGAGAGTGCTTTGTTGATAACTAATTGACAATTATGGCTTGTGTTCTTCTAACACCTTTCTTCCCAAAGGATCCCAAAGTGCCTTACAAAATTAGGGCCTGTTCCTGCCCTGATTGAAGTCAATGGGAGCACTGCCAATGGGAACAGCACTGGGCACTTAAGAAGCTAATAAAAGCTGCATTCAGACATCAGTTCTACCACTGAAATGTGTAACTGTTCAACTTACACAGCAATACTCCCCATTGTTTTAAGACAGGAAGTGAATATTATCATATGCAGATTGCAAATTTTCAAAATAAAATATAATTTTAAAGGGATACATGGTCCAAATATTAGTGTAAATATCCCAGCTTTTGGTTAAGATTTCTGCTTGAGACTTCGTCCAAACACATTTTTGTGTTTTTTTCAGAACATTTGAACATTAGTTCCAATAACTCTTTCTTCATATGTTGCATGCATGTATTTTGAAGCTCAGATTTGAGTTTTTTGTGCAATAGTATAAAATAATTCAAGAAAAATATAACATGGAAATACAAGAAATCTTCTATATTTATTATACCTTTTTACTCATTATTTTTTAATTGCTACCTAAGGAAAACTTGCTATTACAATCAATATTTGGCATATATTTCCATACTGTTTCATTTTACATATTAACCTGATTGCTGTGATATGTCAAGGACCGGATTTGATGTCTGTATACCTGAGATGCCAGCAGGAAGAAAGCCTTATGTCATGCAATCTGATATTTTTGTTTATTTTTAATGTAGGGTCTTTCATGTAAAATTTGGCAGCTACAGAAGATCTAAGTGGCATGTATTGATGCAAAAAAATGTGGGAACTAATGCAGACATTTGTAATACTATGAAAAGGCCCAATTTTTTTTTCCCACTCAGCATTTTTTTTAACCATTCATATTGGTGAATTATTACATAATTAAATTATTTAACAGTTTTAAAATTATGATAGTTTAACAAATTAAAGAGGAAAACTTTCAAGATACCATAAAACGTTCCTTCACTGTTGGACTGTCTTGTTTGACTCCAGCTAGATTCTTTAAGATGGGACTGAAAAATTAGCAGCTCCAAAAGTAACTAACCATCAGGACAACTTATATAATAGGCTATCTGTCAACTGAAGTCTTTGAATCAGATGGTGCGTACATGCTGTAAATTCTAAAAGAAGTTTGAATTTACAGGGCTTGATAAATTCAACACTAGTCTTATTGAAATCTTCTAGTCTTGTTGAATAATTATGTATTAACCCCTCTGGCAAAATCTCAGAAGATGCAGCTTTGTATTTTTGACATGCCCAAGATTAAAATACTATGTATAGTTCGTTGAAATACTATATCTAAATTATTAACCAACAAAACAATGGGTGTAATCCCGATTTTAAGGAATGCTCTTTTTTTCATGCTGTACCTGGATAACATATTTACAGTGTAACTGAATTCCCTTGGTCATCCCAGAACAGAAGGTTAAGAAGGTAGTTTATAAAAGGGATTTAAGAGAAATCATGGCATATTTTACATATTTGTTATATAGATGTGGCTTTCCAGTAGTTTTGAGTGTGTTAGAAGAAGGCACTGTTAGAACATAGTTCAGAATTAATTCATTAAGTTAGAACTTATTTCAGTTATAACTTAAATGTCTCCCTCTCCTAGAAAAAAAATATTTTACAGCCTTTTGTAACAGTAAAGACTCTAGAAGTATATAAATTACTAAGTCTATCCTGGATGAACAAATGCCCTGTTTTCTTACCTACATTTCTGGCTAGAAAATTCACATCTTCCGCATAAGAATTTGACATAATAAAAATAATTTGACGTAACTCTTCCAGAAGGCTGCAGACAGATGTAGAAAAAAGCCATTGAAGTTAACAGGCAGTTCTTTTAATTTTCTTTCATACATGTTTTCAATAAAAGTATTATATTCTTAATACTTTTATTAAGTCGTTATTGTGTCATAAACACATTTTATATGTTATAGTTTAAAGAAAGACATATTAAGGTTGATATTAAACTGCCTCTTTTACACACACAAAAAAAAGCAAGAAGGAAGTAACTATGCATGTGCTGATGCCAGGCCAGGAAGAATTTATCACTTCAGTCAAAAATAGGATTAGGTTTTATCCTTAGGACAGAATTAATGTGTGATCTCACGGTCACTTAATATGTTTCCTATTAGATCTTCCCTGAGGCCTGTTTTTGCAGTCCTTAATCAGGCAAAACACCCAAAGAAATCGGTGCACTTTTGCTTAGCAAAGTAGTTTTCAATCTCTTCTATAGACTTCAAATAATTTAATTCATACACAGTTATATAACAAATAAAGGGCTAAATGACAGTTACTAAAAAAAATATTGTCTTATGTCTTTGAGGCTCTGGGCCTAGATGACTAATGCAATACTAAGATCAAATATCCATCTTGTATTAGAAATAAATTAGCAATTGTCAAATTCTGCACTTTGATAATTTCCACCTTGATCAGGAAAGCATTGTAGGATCCGACCTTTAAAATCTTTTGTATTGTATTTCTTCACTAATAAATATTTCCTAAGACTTTACTGGGTGCTACAATACTTTTTTCTTTACATTAATTTCCATTAAATATGTTTTCATTGGCATATCCATAACCATTATAGGATAAATGAACTTTGTATTAGAAAGTGAAGTGAAAATAGCACTTTTTTTCAGACATGCTCAATATAGAAGAAACCCACACCTTTTTCCTGAGAAAGTACTATTTTTCAAATGCATTTTAGAATTTCTTAGATAAAAATCTTCCTGACAAGGAAAACATGACTTTACCTAAAATAAAACCAAAACTAAACATTCAGTTTACCTAGTTTTGTATTGAACTATAACCTTTGTCAAAAGTGAATATTGCTTAATATTTGGACGTGCATCACCAATCTTGCCCCCCAAAAAACCCTGTCAGTAAACAAGTGGTTGATCTAAACTGCTAGAAACAGTTGCATTGAGCTATCTTACATAATGTATCACTTTGTACTCTTAATTTGAATTACTATTCCATAGTAAATAAGAGTATAAAATACATATTTTCTAACATAGTCATATCATAATTGCAAACTATAAAAATGGATTTTACCAATGCATTATGTTGTTTAGGTTTCAAAATACTTTAAGTATTAATTAAATAAGTCTTTAAGATTTTTTTTTAATATATCTGTAAAAAGCCATACTCAATAAAACATGAAGTCAAGCAATGTTACTTCACAGAATGGTTTTAAATGTATCATTGTGAAATAGAATGTATACTGAAGGTGCAGTTCTATAGCAAAAATGATGTTTATAATAGTGAATATATTATTGATATTTAGACTTGAGTGCTCTGAACCATACCAGTAACTTTACTTTCAAAAATTTAATAATATCACAAAGAGCCACTTACAGGAGTAAAACTGTTCATATATCTAAGGATTTGCAGGACTGATTGATTTTTGATTGTTTGATCAATTGGCAAAAAAACTACTGAGTATTCACTGGCACTTTT